GCTTTCATATTTCCTTTCCCCTTTCTTCCTGGGCTCTGTAATCCCACCTCATTGTATCTCTCTACTTAGCTGTTCTCTGTGTACTTAGTTCTTTCTCTTTGACCTTAAGTAGTTTCCTCTATGTAGCAGAAAGCACAGATGTAAGCAGAGACGGAGCAGTATCCAAGAGGAAAGTAAGTATTTTCAAGAGCATCAAAGTCAAAATGCATAAAGAACATCAGGCAAGGTATGAAGATGGCTTTGTTGGTAAAATGCTTGCTGGGTCAGCAGGAGGACCTGAGCTCAATCCTCAGAGACAATTAAAAAGACATGCACACAGCACACATGTAATCTGGAAGTGGACACAGAAGATCCCTGGGGCTCATTGATCAGCCTGCTCCTCTGAATCAGAAAGCCCCAAGGTAAATGGGACCCTGTTCAAAAAAAGTGGACATCACCTGAAAAACGAGTCCCAAAATTGATCAATGACCTCCACCTGCACACATGTACACACCCACCACCCCTCATATGCAAACATACATACATAGACAGACAGAGAGAGAGAGAGAGAGAGAGAGAGAGAGAGAGAGGGAGAGAAAACAAACCTTAGGGAAGGATTGCATTGACCCAGGACAATCCTTCCATCAGGCATTGGCCAACAAATAAATCTAGGAAAGTAATTCAACCCAGATGACTTGTTACCAACAGGCTAGTTTTATTGTAATAATACAAAATCGGCAATCAATATCAAGGTATGGGATGACTCCCCAGATTCTATAAAAATCCAGGCTCTACTGCTGTTCTTTAATTAATATCAATGAAATGAAAGATGCTTTTAGAAAACCCCACTGTATTTGCGTTGCATTGTTGAGCACATTGCTGCTACTTCAGCATCTCAAAATTGCCACAACGGGTTGGCTCTCAGTTCTACGGGTTGGAGGTACAGTGCAGTGGCTGGATTCACCCCTCAGGCTACAATCAGAGCCTCAGCTGGAGACTCATTGCTAGTCTGAAGCTAGACAAACCCCAGTAAACTAAGTGCTGGCAGAATGCAATTCTGTGGGCTGTAGGACTGAGTCTCCATTTCCCTAATGACTGGCAGGCAGGGGCCTCTCTCAGCCCACAAAGTTTTCAATGCCCACTCAGAAGGCCAGTTCAATGTCTGTGTGGCATTTTCTTGAGTGTTGAGTTACATGGGAGTATCCAGTTCACTGCAAGGGGCCTTGGTCATGTCTGTGAGGCATTTTCTTGAGTACTGAGTTACGTGAGTGCATCCAACTCACCGTGGGTTGTACCATCCCTGGGCATGTGAGATTCAGTTGTATAAGGAAGAAGGCTGAATACAGGCCAGAGAAATAAGCCAGCAAGTAGCGCTCCTCCATGGTCTCTGCTTCAACTTCAGCCACCAAGTTCCTGTCTTTGGTTCCTGCCTTGGCTCCTGTCAATGATGGATTCTCACTTGGAAGTGTAAGATGTAGTAAAGCCCTTCCTCCAAAAGTTGGTTTGAATCAGAGTATTTTTTTTTAATATTTTAAAAATTTTTTTAGAAGAAGCATTTCATTTCAGCTTTAACATACTCAATAACAGTTTCCAGAACAAAGATACATCTCTTTCAAAAGTGGCTATAAATTTTTTAGGTTCGCTATTGAATTAATACAATTATACAGTGTTGAACTCAGTATAAACCCTGTAAGACATAAAATTGAATGAGATCAGAGTATGTTATCACAACAGTGGAGAGCTAACTAGAACAGAAATTATCTCCAATACTGGATGAAACTCCAATTTTACAAACTCATATGATCAGATCCCTGTGTTAGAATCCACTGTGCACTGTGACATGGAACACTAGTCAAACACTAGTGTCATCATTGGCTTCTGGGGGGGTTGAGGCAGGGCCCACTTAGGATGCTCAGTCTATGAGTCAAAAGCTATTATTAATTCGTTGTACAGATTAAAAAAATAACGGAAAGACATTCATTGGCTTTCCCAGAAAACTAGTATATAGAGAAGAAGGATATATATATATTTGAAATAATGAAGTAATTTAAGCTAGGGCCTCAGCCATGCTTAGGCAAGCACTCTGCTATTGAGTTGTCTCTGGCCCTTTATACATTTTTGAGATAGAATCTCACTAAGTTAACCAGGCAGATCTTCAACTTGCTAAATTCCAGCCCCAGTCTCCCATAGCTGGAATTATAGACCTGTACCACAGGCCCAATTGGGAAAGAGGGAATTAAACCCAGTTAAGCTTCTTTGTCTGTACTCTCAGCTGTGTGAAGTAAAACAGAAATATCTTCCACGATGTACAGAGCACACCAAAGTTTAGTACATACTCATCGTGAATTCTCTTTTATAACCTGAAGTTTGATCATATATGTTTATTTTTGCTTCCCAAAACAAATCTAATTCAATTTATTTGACAACTTATACTACTTATAAGTATTTTTACAGGCTTACAATAAAACACAGGGGCTAGAGAGATGGCTCTGCAGTTAAGAGCACTGGCTGCTCTTGCAGATGACTGAGTACAAATCCCAGCACCACACGGTAGTGAATAACCATAACTCCAGTTCCAGAAGATCCAATGCCCTCATCTCTCCTCTGCAGGCATTGCATGACATGGGTGTACTTAACACACATGCAAGTATAACATTCATACACATAAAAATAAATTCATTTTAAAAAATTTAAATATGTGATACATAACTTCTGCATATTACTTTTAGCCCATAAACATATTTAGATATATTTACTCTTTTTTAAAACTTGTTTACAAGATTTTATATGTCTGTGTATATCTGTGTATCTGTGTGCATGCATGTGTGCCATTACATGTGTGTACAGCTCAAAGGGAAACCCTCAGGAGTTGATTCTCTCCATTATGTGGGTCCTGGTGAACCAAGCTGAGGCTGTCAGGCTTGGTGGCAAGGGCCTTTGCTAACTGAATCATCTGGGCTGACCTATTTACCTTCTTTTTTAATATTTGCACTGAATCTTAGTGTAATTCTCAGCACACAGGATTAAATGAGATTTCATGTGTCATAAATAATTATCCTTGTTTTATAAAACTTAAGTATGTAACAGTTCTCCCAGTTGATAAACGACAGAACTAGGAGTTTAATTACACCTTCTGAGTATTTTGCCCATATTCCTTTTCACAGTGATAATGAATATATGTGAAAAAATCAGTAAGCATGAATGCAAAAAACTCAAAAGAATGCATATATACACATATGTACATGTGTACACATTGCTATGTGTTATTTCCAAGGAAAAAGGAAATATTGAGGTGTCTCCCCAGTCTGAATACATGAGGACGTGCTTGTGACTGAGGAAGGAAGTTTCTAGGGATGCACTTTTCTGTTCATTGCTCTGTTAACAGCAGTTCAGCTTCAGGGAGAAGTGGCTTCATGCTCCTACCAGATAATTCCAAATTGCATACACACTCCTGAATCACCCACAACATGCATGCACAGGCACACAACTGAGTCTCTTTGCCTCCCAGCTAATCGGCTGTGAAATGATGGCCAGCACCCTCAGCATTGGCAGGAACCTGTGTACCACTAGCAGAAGCCCGGGGAGAATGCACAGACCCTGTCAAAGTCCCCGACTAGAGTGAGGTTAATTAACACTATTCTTGGAAATGTCAAGCGATCATCGAGAATAGCAGTAAATTGGGGTCACTGGGAGTTCCTTCTCCACTCAGCATACTGAGCAGCTCATAATATCGCTCAAAGTGATCTGTGCAATCCTGTAGCAATTTGTGTATTTATAGACTATTTCAATGATATTTACAGATTCAAATTGTAATTCAAACACAGACTTTTCCTTTCTGTTTTTCATTTCTTTATTTTGTGTATGTGCCCGCCTATGTGTGCATGTGGTGGCATATGCCTGGCCTGGTGCCCATGCGGAGATGGCTCTGTGGATAAAGTGCTTGCCATGCAAGTGTGAGGAGGACTGGAGTTTGGATCACCAGTGCCCATATAAATGCTAGGTGGGCATGGTATCCTCCCTCCCATCATAATTCTAGGGAAGGAGGAAACTGGGGATTCTAGGACCAAGCTGGCTAGCCAGACTGACCATATTGGACTCAATGAGCGACCCTGTCTCATTGGATAAGGTGGAGAGCAATTGCAGAAGATTGGATATCAGTCTCAGCCCTCCACATACCTTCTCTATACATGTACATGTATCCACACACACGAGCCCACACACATGTGAACATGCATGTACACACAGACCACACACAGAGATATATACAAACAATGAATATCACTGAGAGAGGTGCAAGCCTGGGTGCCTGAGCACACAAGTGCTCCCAGGCTGAGCACCAAGAGGATACAAGTTGCATATATTGGCCAGCCCTGAGGCTGCCACTCCAGTAAGGAGTGGCACAGAAAGCCGATGAGAGGCTAGAAAGAATCAGTTTCTGATCCATGTGGACAGAATAAAGGTATACACTTCTACCAAGAACCCAGGCTTCATAGGTGAGAGCCTAATACTACTGTTCTGCTGAATATATATACATATATATATATAATATTAAAGTGACACCTAACAACTTATTACTAAAGCTATAGACTGATACATGTCTCAACTCTCAGCAGAGACACTTTCTTATGTAGCAGATGGTGATTAACACACAGAACCACAACTGACCAAAGTGCAGAGAAGAAAAGGCTGCAGAGTGCTCATCCCTGAATTGGACACTATATCAAACTTCTGCATCCCAAGGCTCAGGGGTCATTGCAGAAGAGGGGCAGAAAGATTTTAAGAGCCAGAGGTGGTGAGTGACCACAAGGAAACAGAGTTTTCAGATATCTGGAAAGTTACCCATATGAACTCACAGCAATGGCGACAGCATGCAAAAGCCCCATGTAAGCTCAAGCCAGAAAAAATTGCCAGCACTGATATGGGGAAGTGGGCAAGAAACTCCAACCTTACCTGAGGAACTATTGAAACCCAACGACAGCTGGGAGGGAGGGAGAGAGTCAGTCTCTTTCAAAGGTGTGACTGTGGGTAGGTTGACCAGGCTCCAGTGGATGAATCCACACCAAAGTGTGTTTAGGGACACAAATTAGACTCCAGGTCCTGATATATATAAAGGGAGAGCGCAGATAGGGTAGAGGATCTAAATACAATCAAAATATACTGTGTGATATCTGCAAAGCTTCAATAACAGAAAGAAAAAATCAAAGAGCCACAGGCCTCGAAGGTGGTGGCAGAGCCTCAGAAGAGAATTCTCAGTGCACACAAAAGTTTGACTTTTACACGTCTGTGAAGGCTGTCCCCTGGCCCTAGCACATTACTTACTTAAGCGCTAGTGTGAAGTGGCTGGAGTGTGTGTGGCCTATGGTTAATACACAGTAAAGGTTGTAACTGAGCATGCATCTTTCAGAGAACTCCTCAATGGACATGAAGAGTTCATAACCAATGATGCAATTGTGCACATGTTTCTGTCCTCTGTCTGTCTCCTCCACACGCTACGGGTTCCCCATCACAGGCATTCAAACAAAGTGGCCATATTTGGTTGAATCCCTCACCTGGCACATGTGGGACTGATGCCATGACAGCGAAGCCTGCTGAGGGAATGCTCGAAGTTTGCATATAGATATGGCTGAAATCCTCCTATAATTTTTAAAGCAATCAGCAGGAGCACGTTCAGACCCTCTGCTGTCTAGAATTCTCACACTGCACATGTTTTTCATGCTCTGAGGTAGACATGTGCATATTCATGAAGAATTTACAGGAATCAAATATCTAACACGTAACAATCTCCCCAGGAAAGAAGCCCTCTTGCGACCTTCAAGCCACTTTCTTTGAGCCAATCGTAAATGTTTCTGCATTTATACATTTGATTTTACTGTTACATTATTTTGCCGGGGACTTGAAATTAGGACAGGCAGTGACTAGGAACTGCGCGTGGAGGAGGCACAATTATTTTCAGTGCTATTGGTACACATTCTTACTGTGGCAATATTCTAAATCTATTGGAGCTCAGACACTCCAAAGCGTCTCTTTGGGGAAATAGGTTTAAAAAAATCAGAGGCTCAGTTCAAGCCTACACATGCCAAGAGGCACAGGGCACTTTTCTCTACACTCATCAAGTTGGCTACTTGGAAGCCAGAGGACTTGTCTCTACAGGGCCGGATTTTCCTGCCCGGCATTCATCCGTGATTCCCTGCTGTGTGGGGGTCACTTTCTGAGAGGCTGAAGATGCAGTGGACGGAACACGCAGAACTCTTGTCTTATGCCCCTCGCATTCTGGAAGACAGAAATATCACACACATTAAACAATGAACACATTAGCTGTGAATGGGAACAGCCCTATTGTGGAAATACAGGAAGGTATTTGGATAAACAGGTCAGATGTTCTGAATGGCAGGAGGCTTTTTGAGAGAGTCGTATCTGGGCTACATGCTAAACGGCATGAATGACGTGGACAGGTAAATAATCCGGGATGGGATTGTGTGTGGCATATTCTAGAGGCAACAGGGAGCCCGTGGGAGCAGTGTGTTTGTGAGAAGGAAGGGGGCAGAAGATGGGACCCTCTGGTAAGGCCGTTAAGGGCAGGACGTTTTGGATTGACTTCTGTGCATACTAAAACACAATTGGATATCTCCTATAAAAATTCACGCTAGTGCTGTTCAGAGGAGGGGAAATGAAGGCAAATGACTGATTAGGAGCTGGTTCTCAGAAACCTGAAGTGATCAGCACAGCTTCAAATTGAGGTCACTGGGGATTCTTCTGTGTTCAGCCTAATGAATGAACCATTGTCCATTCATATTTTTTGTAAAAGCAGATATCCAGAGTATTTCAGTATTATAAATAGAGCCTAATCTTGAATTGAACATTGGATTTTTTTTTAATTTTTGCATTTATTGTTAGAGTTTTATTCTAATTCTCCTGTCCTTGGCAGACAAAGTTTCCTGTGAGAGAAAGCAAGGAGACAAATATTAAATTCATACTTCATCCATCCTTTACAAAGAGACCGCTGAGACACTTTGGGTCACAATCTCTTTATCCAAGAATTAGTGAGGACAGCGGGGGTTCATCAGGCTTTGAAATTGCATCATTGTTCAGGTCACAGAAGTGTTTAGAGCTTTGCCTCTATTAGCTCTGTCATTTTTATAATTCAGAACGAAGGCAAATTAATTGATCACGAGGCCAAGACCTAAATATTGGTTATACATTTATGCTGGCTTAACATAACAGTTTCATTTCCTGTATTAGACTTCCAACCCATGACTGCAGGCTATGTGCAGCCACATGCAGCCAAGGATAGCTACGAATGTGACCCAACACCAAGTTGTAAACTTACTTAAAACATTATGAGGCTTTGTTTTTGAATTCTATTTTTTTTAGTAACTCAATTTAGATGTTCTCCAGCATGAGCTGTGCTGCAATGTGAAGAAGGCAGGCAGATTTTATTCCAGCCTATTTACTTTTAATTCCTCTGGTTAGAATGTATGTTTCATGACAACAAGAATTTTGCCCATGCTAACTTTCAAACCTCCTACCCTCTAGAAGAGCACTTGGACCATAGTAGCTGTTCAGTAAGTACTTCCTGGGTGCAGGTACAGACCACTATGGCTACTAACTCTAGCAGAAAGTTCCTATGTACTAAGAGGTAAAGAAATTCAACATACTTGTGGAGAATCAAGTTTTGAACCTAAATTGTTGTAGGCAAATATTTTTCATCATTTTTAAACTCATGGACCCTTTGTTCAATGAGAATCTTTTCTTTAGTATTTTATTTATTATTTTTATTTTATGTGTATGAGTATATTGCCTGCATGTAGGTAAGTGCACTATGTTGTGCAATGCCTGCAGAGGACAGAAGAGGCTGTCGGATCCCCTGGAACTGGAGTTAAGGACAGTTGTTAGCTGCCACATGGGTGCTGGAATTTGAACACAGGTCTTCTGCAAGAACAACCAGTGCTCTTACCCGCTAAGCCATCCCTCCAGCCCGAGAATCCTTTATAGAAACAAAATATGAGAAGTACATGAGCACTTGGCTCTGGTTGGAGAAAGAATGGAAACCTTTCCCTCCCAAGGAGTCCTAAGAGACCCACACACAAAGTTCAAAAGTTGGAGCCCCATATATGATAAGAAAGTTCAGTGTTAAGGGTCTGAGCTTGCTCAAGTATATTTCTGCAAAAGTCATGGGAAGATTTCAACTATCTCTTTACGCAGCCTTGGGGCATCGTAAGCATTCCATCAGCAGGCTACCTTACCGGATCTGTGCAGTGCCACAGAGGCTAGAGTAGATTAGGCCATAGTTGTTTCAAGCTTGTCCTGTGACTACTGCTTAATTCACTCAGCAGCTGAACCTTTGGCCACCATCTTTAGAGGAGGAACTCTCAAAGACGCTGAGGCTTGAATGTCACTGGTAGAAAACACCTTCTTCATCAGATCAGAGTCGACCATCTTCAGCTGCATTGACTCGGCCCTCATGCATCTCAGGAGAAATTCAGGAATGGAGGGTGAGACGGGATTTCATAAACCCTTTAGCCTCTTTCTATAAGGAATATTCTCCAGCTCCTTTTGCTAAATGCTGGTTTCACATCCTCATTCCCTCCTGGACATCCAGATCTTCTCGATCAAAACTTTCCATCTCCTGTTCAATTCAGGTATGACAACACACTATAGACTAATTGACCCCCAGACCCCACGCAGTTATCCTAACAAGACCTCTCTACACATAACCAGCTTCTTCCTTTTCCTACTCAAAATGATATTTATTTATTCATTTGTTTGTTTGATTTTATTTTATGAGTGCATACAGTGCCCACATAGGCCAGAAGAAGGTGTCAGATCCTCTGGAACTGGAGTTACAGATGGCTGTCATGTGGCTGCAGTGAGGATGCTGGGACCTGAACCCAGGTCCTCTGTAAGAGCAGTAAATGCTCTTAACCACAGAGCCTTTTTTCCTGACCCCTATTTATTGATTTTTTTTAGTGGGTATGAGTGTTGTCTACAGCCATGCAAGTGTACCATGTGCACACAGTACCCACGGAGGCCAAAAGAGGGCATCATATCCCCTGGAACTGGACTTACAAGCAATTGTGAGCCTCCGTGTTGGTGCTAGGAGCCAAACCTGGGGCCTCTGCAAGAGCAGCAAGTGCTCTTATACATTGAGCTGTCTCTCCAGCCACCTACTCAGAAAGTTTTTTCAATACTGTGTTAGTCAGCCTTTCAGTGCTGTAACAAAATACCTGACATAAACAACTTAAAAGTAGGCAGTATTTATTTGGCTTCACAATTTGTTACATTTTAGTCATGATTCCTTCATCTGCTGCTTTGGACCTGAGGTGAGACAGTGCATCATAGATGCAGGAGCACCTCAGCAAAGGAGGTTGCTCACATTCACGTAGCCAGGAAACAGAAAGAAAATGTCTGTGCTGGCCAGTTTCCTCATCTTCCCTTTTATTCTCTCCAGGCCCTGGGTGCAGATGGTGCCGTGCTTACACACTCTCAGGGGTGTCTCTCCTTTAATTGATCACCCCTGGAAACATCCTCATAAATATTCCCAGAGGAGTTCTTTACTAATCTCCTAGGCACTTCATAATCTTATCAAGCTGACATTCAAGATTTATGACAACAAATGATCGGTGATACCCACTGACTCTGGGGAATGTGTGTCCTGTTGTGATTTGCCTGCAAACTCTTCATTCCAGCTGCAGTACCTTCTTCAGGAATATCTTCTCACCAGCACTGACTGCAGTGCCCAGGAAAGTTCCCGCATTCTGTTGTCTCTGCCCTCACAGCAGCATTTTAAAGGTTGGTCTGAAAGTCGATTCCATTCAGGGTAATTGAAAGGAAAGCTGCAATGCAAGAAACAAGGAAATAAGACAGATTCCAGACATCCCTTTGGGGTGGGGCCTGACTCTGGATTACAGCAAAATATAGCATACATCTCTTAGAGCATGTCCTATTCTGCTATAGACTTGGGCTGTAGAGAATGGGCTTTGGGGGAATATAAACAGTGCTTTACATCCTGGATATATCGGAAAATCAGCTACAGATGCTGGCAAATGGAGGGCATCCTAGCATCATCATTTCCTCATTTATAACAAGAAAGTAGCATACCATGTGGACTTTGTAGAGAATGACTTCAGCATGCACAGAGGGTGTGTGGTGTGTGTGTGTGAATGACCTACATCAATGTGGTACGTGAATGAAAAAAATTTTAGGGGATTGTACAAAAAGCAAGCTGAGCTGTGAGTGGCGGTAGTAGAATTTAAGAGCAACAGAGACTCTTGGTCTATTTTCCTTGCATTAATAGTTAAGGTCTTTTTCAAATCCCTAAGGTAGGCTCATGACCTACTGTGCCCTGACCCACCTTCTAGCATTGCTATGCTCAGTTCTTATTGCTCCAGAACCTGCCAAGATAACACCAAACTGTTACAGACTTTAGATAAAAGACTTACAGAGATTGTGTGTGTGTGTGTGTGTGTGTGTGTGTGTGTCTGTGTCTGTGTCTGTGTCTTTCTGTGTCTGTGTGTAGACTCTACAGGCTAAGATGAGGACAAGAACAGGAGCCTTAAGCCATGCTCAGCATTTCTGAACTCTTAACATTATTTAAATATCTGTAACCTATCAACTATCCCCTCTGTACCTCTGTATCCACTTTTGTACCTTCCTAGGAATAGAGCTTTAGATGTCCAAGGCCAATAATAGACATTTGAAAGAGGTTCAAATATATTGTTCATCTTTTTATTTATTATTTTTATTTTTTGCATATGAGTATATTGCCTGTATGTAAGTGCACCCATGGTGTGCAATGTCCGTAGAGGTCAGAAGAGGGTGTTGGATTCCCCTGGAATTGGGGTTATGGATGGATGTTAGCGATCATGTGGGTGCTGGGAATTGAACCCAGATTCTCTGCAGGAGCAGTCAATGCTCTTAACTGCTGAGCCACCTTTCCAAGTATACAGTTTTTAAGCAAGGTAATATTAGGATATAAGGTAATATATGCATATGGAAAGAGATTAAGATACACACTGAAAAGAAAAGCAGTCATAGATAAACTAAGGTAAGTGGAACATTTAAAAAATTAAATTATTATTTTTTTACAGTCAACAACACATTTATTTTGTAGTTTTCAAATTACATTTTCCAAGTTAAATTAAAAGACTTCTTATGTATTATCCATCCATCTGAAGGGTGTTTTTTTAATTTATTTATTTTTACACCCACTTCCCAGATAGCACCCTCCCTTAGCCTCCCTCCCCTCACTAGAGCCCTTATACTCTGATATCCCTGCTACTGTCTGCTGTGTTATCGACACCACCGCCATTCCCCACTACTTGCCCTTCTGGTGAATCTAGTCAGCCTATCTAGAGGTCTTTGTTTTAGGAAGGTCAGCTGTTCCTCATCTAGTGGTAATCAGTTGTCAATATTCCTTGGGATAAGATTGGGATCTGCTGTTCATTTTCTCAGTTCTATGCTGGGTTACTATCTGGGAGTCCCTTTGGCCACCTTGGCCAACAACTCAAAAGAAGGTATTATCTGTCTGGAATTCTTGCTTGTTATGTAGCCTTTACCTATACATATGGACTCTTAAGAAATTATATTGGCCCCTTTAATCTTTGGTTATACTTTCCTTTGGGGTGTTTAAAGCCATACAGTTGGCCCAGATAAACCAATTTATTTTTACTCTTAAGGACGTTTGAGGATCTGTTCCCCAATGTCATATGGGCTTGGGAGGAGCCCCTGGCTCCTTTCTTTTACCAGTTCCGCCTATGTGAAGATAAGTCAAAGGTCCTGCTCGACCATGGTTGGCTTCACTTGGAAGCATGGAGGAAATGATTCTTCTGTGTTGACCCTCCTGTTTATAGACTGGACACTGGTTCAAGTCCATCTGGTGGGGTCTCCTCAGCCTCCTTGATCAAGAGGACAGGTGACCCACCACAATTACAGAACATTTTTGAGACATGCTCGTGGTCCCCTGGAAGTAGTCGACCTAGGAGGGCAAGGAAAAAAAACTGTCCTTTATGTCCCTCTGACCAAATTATTATGGGCCTCAAAATACATATGTTAAACACCCAAGAAGGTTAGTTCCACCAGTCTGGTATTTTTAATTACTGTGTGTCATGTAGATAAATCTTGGGTAAAGACCAGTTGTTCTCAGATAAACCTTACCTAGACATATATTTCTTGATCTGCTATGTATAATTTGTCAGTAGGTTGTAGGAGTAATATGGTTCCCTCTGGTTTTCAAAACTAGCTAGGCATTATTTATATCTTGCATCGTCTCACCCCTCCATCATGGTTTTCCCACTTAAGGTGCCCCCATTTCCCCCCTTTCTCCCTTACTAATACCCTTCTCCTACAGTCCTACCTCTCTTGAGCTCTTTCTTTCCCTTTATGCCCTAGGTTCCTTGTATACCCTTCCTCACCCATCCCTTAAACTAACCCAATATTTATCCAGATCC